AATTTTTCCTCTAGACAATACATGTCTATCAAACATATGTGCCTTTTCAGGACACAAAATAGGTTTTGTTTGTTTTTGTACATACATTATAGACCTAGCATTTAATATTTGCTTAATAAATGGAAATTTCTGTTAATATATATTAACAGAAATTAACAGTATTAATATGTATTCTTACTATGTGAACATTTAAAAAATTATGATTAAGAAAATCAAATTCGTCTTCTATGCCAACATTCAGATATTAAGTTTTGTAAAATACAAAATAAAGGATTTTTTTTTAAGATCGTAAGTAAAAATATAAAAGAAGTTTTATTTCTTATTTAATCCTCTTTAACAACTGTAGTAAAAGAAAAATATCTAGGACAAATGGCATTCTTGTTAAATAATGTTACAAAATATTAAGAAGGGCTGGGGGGATTTAGCTCAGTGGTCAAGTGCTCCTGGTTTCAATCCCCAGTATTGGAAAACAAGAAACATATTAAGGAAATTTGGTATAAACTGAATTGTTGTATAGTCATTATTTTAGTGCATGCTAACAGAAATGCAGGATAAAAGAGAAATATGCTACATATGCTAAAATTGAGATACAAAAATGATTATGAAATTATAGAAATAAAACACTCTACATCTAAAAGATAATACTCCTGTTAGATATAATGTGGTAAAACCATCTTAAATATTTTCATTTTCAAAGTAAAAAACTTGTTTGTTAAAAGTCACTTAATGTGTACCTAGGATTATGAAAGGATGCTTTTCTATGCTAGTGAGGAGGTTATAGATAGATGCCAATATAAATGTGGCCGGCCCATTATGTGATTACACAAATAAAAATAAAATCCGAACTCACAAGAATAAAATATAATGGTTTTAAATTTTATAGTTTGTTAATGAAAAATTTGTCCTGAGGTTTAAGTATAAGTGTGTGTATAAGTAGTGGGGAGACCACAATGAAAACACGTTTTTCTACCGGCAGTTCTGATAACTTGAGAAGCTATCTAAAAGCACTATCAGTCTATAGCACACATGCATTGAGATTAAATCCAATGGGGGCGTTTTAGCATCTTGTTACTTTAAAAAATCTAATTTCCTTCAATTTTTTAATCAGGGCACAAATTTAGAATCTCATTAAGAAATAAATGGTTATGCATATATTTAAAATGGGCTTCACTACTCAGAAATTGTCCATCTTAATTTGTGATAAGTGCATTTTCGTCAAGAAGAGAAAAAGCATTTAGTGTATCTGAAGGTTTGTATTTAAGAGTGAAAACAGAAGTATCTGGCTTTGTACTGCTATATAAAAAAAAAAAAAAAAAAGCCAAATCTCTTCTTCCTACTCCCCAAAGTCACTTTTCCAGCCAGGCATATTACCAGGTAATATTATTTTTTAATTTTTCCATACTGTCATTAATTCTCCTGATAGAAAAGGGGAAAAACAGAGGAAGTTCCAATAAGGTACTCATCCTTTTTAATCTTTGTTATAAGATTCTGTCCTCCTAAGTAGGGTGACTGATCAATCTATTAAACAGTAGCCTAGAGACCATGTCTGTGTGATAGCTCTGGGTGGATGGTGGAGGGAGCATAATGACCTGGCCCACTCCAAAGAACAAGAAAGGTGGAGTAGATATGGATGGTTAGTTAGAACTCACAAATAATAAAAACATTAGATGACAAAATCTTGCTCATCTCAGTGTAAACATGCTAGGAAGGAAAGGTTTCCAAGAAATGTAGATGCTTAACCCAAAAAAAAAAAAAAAAAAAAAAAAAATTCAAAGTTCTACTTTTTATCTGCAGCAAAAAAGGTGAGATATGTAACTTAGTTCATCCAACCAGTCTGTCAGTTTTGCTCTGAGGAAAACTGCATTTTCATTACAGGCTCTCTTTCCCTCCTAATAATTGCTACCGGTTAAAAATTAGAGCTATCATAAATTTGCTTCATATGCAACAGGTTTAAGATCTGTTTAAAATGCATTATGTAGTCTAGTTTCTTCTATATCTGGACTATCTTATCTACAAGGTTTCTCTCTGTATAATCCCACAGAGGTGGCCTTTGGGACCAGCAAAGAGTAAGGACATTATTTTTTCTTTTGGTACCAGGGATTGAACACAGGGGCACTCAACCACTGAGCCACATGCCAGGCCTATCTTTTAAATTTTTTTTTTTTTTTTTTAAATTTTGAGACAGAACCTCGCCAAGTTCCTGAGGCTGGCTTTGAACTTGCAATCCTCCTGCCTCAGCCTCCAAGAGCCACCAGGATTTACAGGTGTATGCCACCACACACAGAACAACATATTTCACAAGTAAAACATTATTTTTATCTTCATCAATAAAATAGGAATATCAGTATTTCAAATGACAATGAGTAATAGAAATAAATGAAAGAATGCTTTTAAAACGATGAACTGACAATCAAAATTTTAGCGACTGTTAAGTATTATCACAGGAAGACAATTTTTATCAACTAATTATTTGACAGAATAATCCTGGAAGAGTTAGATCAATGCTACATTCTAATCTCTATCTTTAGTACTTGGCATGTACCTAATAAACATGGTTTGTAACAATAAATCACCTATTGAGATGAGTTGTAGAACTATGTTATTCAGCAATGACCAGACAAATAAAATTCCACTCCAATCTATTTCTACTTTGAAACCCCAAACCCTCCTCATTTCCAAATAGTTATATAAAATTATTCAAGTAATGTTGAGAATAAAATATACAAATCTAAGGGTGCTTTATATAATAGTTTTTTCAAATTCATTTTCTTATGTAACTCTGTATAAGAACAAATTCAAGCACTTTTTATCCACTGCATTTCAATACTAAAATTATGATTACAACCTTTCAATTAAATAAACTTTACCCATTTTTTCCTTGTAGTTTACTCTATTAAGTATACAGAATAAAATGAAGAAGGAAAGATAGAGTACAAGAAGCTTAGTTTTAACTTTATCTGAAATAAAAGGAAGTAGAAAATAACTCTATAAATGTGCTATGAAATTCTTTTATACATAAATTACCATAGCTAAAACTACTTTCCAAAATTTACTCATATGGTTTCACATGGCCTAGATCTAGCCAAGCAATGAATGAAATTCCTCCTAAATGAAAGCAGGAATTGGGCAAGGTGGGCTGGGCAGGGGGCAGGGAATAGTATGTTAGAGAAGGGTTTGTGCATCTGGGGTTTTCAGTGGTGGCCAGCACTCATAGAATGGACCAGGGGCATTAGGGCTAAATGGGGTCTGTAGTGACAGAGCTACTCTTCTCTTCACAATAGAAGCAGCTTTGTGACAGGCCAGTTCTAATCTATGGTTCTAGGAGCTGTTTCTAGAAGTTCAAAATACTTCTAAAGTTTGTTCCTTTAGCCTTCCCCGTATGTCTGAGAATTATTTTATTCCCCTATATAAAACATTTTCAGTTTAAACTAGCTGATTCAGATTCTGTTGTCTGAAACTAAAAACTGAACTAACGTTCAGAAGTAACGTTACAAAAGTAATATTTATATAAAGTTCATCAAGTCAGAATTACTACTGCCATTTTTCAAAGTTCAAAAAAGTACAACTAGAAACAATACCATTTTTGATATCTTCACTAACATTTTATATCTATTCTTTTTTATGTGAAGATCAATGAAAATAGAGTTGAAATATTATGAATACTGGAATTATGACAATTTCTAGGAATTCCTTTATACATGCATCTTTGCTGATCAAGATGGTCTTTTTTTCAAAATCTCAAGGATTACTAATATCAAAACAAAGAGGCAATATAGAAGTAAAAACCTTTAGTCTATAATTTCAATTATTAAAAAGCACAATTAGAAAATCTGTAGGAAATGAGAAGCAAATTTTATTCTCTCCAATGGGTGTTCCAAAGTCACAAATCTGGAATCTAGATATTGTCCTTATAAACATTATAAAACCAACTTCAATTAAGAGAAAAGCAATTTCCTCAAAATTCTGGAGCACATTTGTGTGTTATGCTCATTTGGATATAAAATAATTATTGAATCAAAATTAACTGAAATAAATTTTAAGGAACCATAAAATCTTCTGAATGTTAACCTGACCTAAATGTTTAAAAGAATCAGGTTGAAGACAACATCCATCTGTTTCACATTATAGTTTCTCACAATAATTTTTCAATAAAAATTCTAACTTTTGAAGATGAGATCACAAATTTTAAAATTGTAGTTATTTTAAAAATAATATAAATATTCAAAGAACTACCACTTATATAAATTCATACTTTAAGGTCCCCTTTTATTAACATTTCTGAGTCTTCTGATAGATTATCTTAAAGTTATAAACATTTAGAAATTAAGGGAGGAAAAGTAATAGATTATAAAAACATAATATTTCTGGCTTCACTGATCTCACTAGTCTGTATAACTAGTCATCAAGATAGAATTACTGCCAATTTTCTTAAAGCGGTTGATAGTCTGAGGTACAGATTATAGAACAGAGATTACTTGAACAAAGAAATCAATAAGTAGAAGAACCAAATGTGAATCCAGAGCTGCCCACCTTTTCTACAATTCAGAGTTTTTCTATTACACAAGACTAATTTCTGAAGAAAGATAAATCAATGCCAGATCTTTATTTATTTTTCATATAATAATATAAAATATTCTATGAATATCTAAATTAAGCGCCATTACTGGGAGGATAAAAGCGCATTAGGATATGAGCTTTTATCTTTGAAGATAAAACTGAATGATCTCAATTAATTATAAGATAGGTAATAATGAACAACATATGAAGAAAAATCATTATGTAAACATCGTTTCCTAATACTTTTCTGTTAAACTAAACTAACTTTCCTGAAGTCTGTTCACCTATTAAACCAGATCTGTTCAATGGCCCAGCAAAGGCAAAAATCGACTGTCAAAGGCAATAGTCGTTTTCATTTATCACAAGCCTAGTAATTAATTCATTAGCCTGCCAATCAACTGCACTGCTAGTGAAATCTGTGAAAGGAGAAATGAATAGCTTACCGTGCACAAAGATGTCTTTGTGATTTTCAGAGTAAAATCAGAAGAAAACTCCAAATCTGTGATAGATGTTGTATGGCAATCTATATGCTACCCATTAAAAGGAAGAGAAGGGAAGAGATTGGTAAAGATAGGGGAAAAAAACCCCCAAAATCCCAGATAAATACTGCCTCTATTTTTTTTAATGCTAAAAAAGCATTATTATAAAGCAATGATGAAAAACTTTGGTCATTTACACACTATTTTGGGGATTATTTCCAAATTGAAGGGTTGCTAAGTGTATTATCATTTAGTTAATTTTTCTTTAAATCACATTAGTATCTTCTTTAGTCTTCTTGTAAGCAATGACATACATAAAATTATAGCTTTGATCTGCTAGTTTTCCTAAAACACTAAAATATTTTCAAATAAAAAACACTTTTGTGTGTTTCACCTAAAATCATTTTGTATGCACATGCCACATTTGCTATAAATTATGTGATAACAGTCAATATTTTTAGAGGAAATGGCAATTTGAAATCACATGCTAATCAAAGAAAAAAGTTTCCACATTCATTTCTGTCAATGCATTTAAAGATAAGTTTATTAGATATTAAAAACAAACCATGATTTCAAATCAAACAGCAAAACTATGAAGATTCACCTCAGCTAAATATCTTTATTTTCACATTCTGCCCTGGTGCAAGTTCTTCTCCACCTCATTTAGGAGATGGGATGCAATCACCTTTCAGCAATCTCACCAGAAATATGCTGTAAAGGCTGTCATCAGTTTGTTTACCATGAATACATTATTACCCAGTGAATGCAGTTCACGTAACTATATATCTAAGGCATTACTCAATTTAAAGCAGTCTGAGAAAAAATTTTAAATGTTACAATGTGGGTTGCTTTTTAATTTGTAAGAGGGCTTAGGAATACAGAACAAATGGTATTACTTAAAAGCCTATTTTTTTTTTTTAAAAGGCATGCATATTTATTAAATACCTTTGTTTCTCAGTTCTGAATTTTCTATTTCAAGTATTTATGCATAGCAGTCTCAAGGGTAAGCAAGATGACTAAACAGAGAAATTAGCACTTCTCTTCTCAACTCTTCTTTCTGCTCTATGTAAGGCTGAATGGGCTATGGATATGCCTTCTCTGAGCCAAGTTTCAAATAAATCCTTTACTGTCAGTATACCAGAGCACTCAACAGTCCTACAATCATCAAGCAGAAAGTAGATTTTTTTTTCCTTAAAAGCTGAATGTAATTTCTATCAGTTTGTTTTTGTTGAGAAATTTCATGTTTATTATTGTATGCTAATTATAATATTTATCCATTTAAGGAATTTAATAAACGTTTGTTGACTACCTACTTCATGTAGACAATAATTATTGATGCTATGAAAGTCCTTCTTCATGCAGGACATGTTGAAGCCATATACGTCATCCCAGAAACAAGGAGACAATATTCTAAAACTAATGTTGAACAAACCCTATATATCTCACTATCTAGTTGAAAACCAACTAAGAAAATCAGTATAATTTTTCACTGAAAAGTTATTAGTGAACTCAGATAAACTCAACATTGAAAAATTCACAATAAAACCAGAGATTAACATGGTAAAAAATAATAGAAAATAAAAGAAATTAGCTGAGAAATTTCAAAATAGTAGGGCTTTAGTTCCAGGGAAAATTCACTATAATTACTTATTCTAATTTTTCCCAGCCTTTTTAGAGTAAGAAGTTAAATTATGTGGAATATATGGTATGAATCAATAAGTGTTAGAATGAAGCCAGGAGGTGGTAGTGAAGCAGAAATGACAATATAATAGGACTTTTTGCCTTCACTAAGTTAAATAAATGTAAATTATTCAAACAGATTTGAAGGATTATAAAACTGAGTAAAATAAATTTAAGTGTATAAAGAGAAGTGATTCCAAAGGTATGATTGAGCCAACTGGCAAATATTATGACCACAAGTCTGTTTTCAAGGTCCACATACACAATGAATACACAGTTAGTTCTCTGTATAGTGGTCCCACATCTTTGGATTCAACTTGGACTGAAAGTATTTGGAAAAAAATGGCAACTGTACTGAACGTGTACACTTTTTTTTCCCTTTCATGTCATTATTCCCTAAATGAGACAATTTCAAGTATATGAAAGGATACACATATGCCAATACCACACCATTTTATATAGAAACTTGAGCACTTGAGTTTGGTATCCATTGGGGGTCCTGGAACCAATCCTTCACAGATATAGAGGGATGACTACATTGATTTCAAACAATGAGCTAAGGAAAAAGGTAACACTATTATTAAAAAAAATTTGGGAAAACACTTACCTTAATACCACAAGGATCTGAAATAAGAGACTTCGGATCTAAAACTTCCACCACAGCTTCTGGAATAACTGCCTTCTTCATGCAGGACATGTTGAAGCCATATACGTCATCCCAGAAAGCAATTCTCTCCGCATGTTTATTCACATCACTCACTGCTACAAGGCTGATAGTGCAAATGTCAGGATAAACTGTAACCAACAGAATGCCTAACAATGTAGCATCATCTCCTTTTATAAGAAATATAATTCTTAAAAGCCTCAACGTAAATACTGACTGCATCAGTATTGATTACTAGCAATGAGAGATTAATGAACATATGAACCAGGGAAAACAACCAAGTTCCCTTTTGCAGTCTCTTAAAAAGATACCTATTATCATGATAGTAAAATTAAAATGAGGGTTTCAATGACAGATTCCTATTAAATTAAACTGGCATGATATAATTCATTGACCCCCCCCAACTAGAAGAACTTAATTTAAACCAACATAAAAAATGTACTAAATCTTTAATTCATTGATTACTCTAAAATATGCAGAAAGAAAGAAATCATTTAAAAAGAAATGTAGCCTGTAAAAAAAAAATCAAGTAATGTAACTTTACAGTTATGTAGACCAGTTATATTACCCTCTTTTATTTAATATAAAAGGAAATGTTTATAAGCATTAAAGTATGTGCTGGACATATGTGCCACACTGAGTACATGGCCCTACTTCAAGAAAAAGCAAAATCAGCTAATTCTTACTTGCCTGGAGGACAGAAATGGTTCTTACACAAGAACTGAAGCTCAGGTTAGGAATGGAGAGTGAAAGTGTTCTAGGCCAAGTGAGCAGTGTACACCAAGGGTAACAATTAGTAGATGGTTTGGCCTGTACACTACTCAACGAGAGAGAAACACTGAGGTCCAAAGTTAGAAAGGTGCCTGAGTAAACCACATTAGTAAACTGGATTTTCTGCTAATAATAGTAATCCAGTGAAATATTTCACATAGGGAAGCAACAGGATCAAATTTTGGTTTTAGAAACCACATAGAATGCAATGTGAAGAATAAATGGGAGAAAGATTAAAATAGACACATTAAGAAATGGTTTTAAGGGGCTGGGGTTGTGGTTCAGCAGTAGAGCATTCACCTAGCGTGTGCGAGGCCCTAGGTTCAATCCTCAGCACCACACATAAATAAATAAAATAAAGGTATTAAAAAAAAGAAATGGTTTTAATAATCCAGGTGATCGAACTAGGGTTATGGGTAAGGGACTGGAAAGGAGAAAAAGTCTATTTAGGAGGCAGAACTCATGGGATTTTGAGACTACCTGTGGAGGTAAGGAAGAGTTAATGAGGCAATGAGCCAGATATGGACAGCCCTGATGTAGATGAGGGAGAAATGGATGATGGGGTTGTTACCAGGCCTACCATACTGTACTACTTCAGGAAGTACCAGTCATACTGTACTTATGGAAACTAAATAGCCTACAGTTACACAGTTCAGAGATGCAAGTAAACAGTTCCCAAATCCTTCTATATTATTAAAAATCAGAGCAGGATGTTTTAATGTCATGTATCTTGATCAGGTTTGGCAAACTACAGCCCATGGGTGAAATCCAATCTGTTGTTTTTGTAAATAAAGTCTAATTAGAACACCACATTTGCTTACATATTATTTGAGATTGTGATATGCTGTAGTAGCAGAAACGACTAGCTGGCGCAGGGACCATACTGCAAAGAACTGAAAATATTTACTACCTACCTGGTCTTTTACAGAAAGTTTGCCAATCTTTTGCTCTATATCAAACAATGTTATGTAGTAGTAATACCACTTAGAAATAAAGATCATTTTTTCACAAGGAGAAATTACAACTCATGAAAAGTAATAAAACAGCTTTGAAACTATGTTGGTAATAAGAAGAAATAAACTAAAAAGTAATATGAATTTACTTTTTCTAGTGTTGAGGTATACTCTTCCAGTAATTATATTTCACAAGGTAACAAAATTAATTTTTGTATTTTAGAATGTAGAAATGAAATTATTTTAGCTCTCAATAAGATCTATGAATATTCATGAAGGATTTATAATCAGTGTTATAGGTCAATTTGGTCCTAAATCTACCTCTACACAGCTGCCTAATTTTGGGCCACCTGCCAGAACACTGACTAACCCTTTACCTTCACATTCTGACACATTTGTCATTTGATTTTTGTTGGATAGAAGCTATAATTGAATAATTATTCCTGTTTGTTGGTAAAATTAACAAAGCACTGATTGGACAAAAGCACCTTCTTAACAGACCATTTATAAATTCATGGCTTTGACATCTGTGTCCTTCTCGATTCACTGCCCAGAATTCATTTGTCACTAGAACAGCTTACACAGTGAATAAAGATGGGAAATTCTTTATCCCTTAGAAATGCCCACAAACTTTTGGACACCAAAGGATAAGACTGAGATGCGTAAGAACACAATTCCTAGTAAACACTACTGTCACTGCTTGCACATAAACAACCAGAGTAAAATGGTTTAGAACAAAAGGAGACAGTATGTCCAAATAAACTGTGCTTCTCATAATATATGGGAAAGATACACAGAAAGATTTTAGTGAAGTAATTATAGCAAAATACTTGATATGCATAAAAGGAAATGTACTATAGTAACCCCAATTGGCAGATATTTTGGGAGTCAAATTAGCTTAAATAATCAATTTCTAGTTTATAAAATAAGGATATCTTAAATTGGATACCTCTCCATCATCAACTTATAATGACTAGGCCTCTAAAATTTAGTAAACTAACATGTACCTGCAATATACTTTGAAAAAATTATGTACTGAAAAGAAGTAGAAAGTGATACTATTTCAGTATCACTGAAAAAACCCAAAATAATAGATATGAACATAGATCTAATGATGAGGAAGTACAGGGTGAATTACAGAAACACTAAATGAAGCTTTTAAGTTTTATACACTATTGTCAAAGGCTGCTTATATTTGAGATAATCCATGTAACAGCATAGATAATGTGAACTGCTATAGAAAAGCCACATAATTCAGGAACACAATTAACATTTATCAAGCAACTATTTTTTGGTCAAGTATCTCATTTAGATTTTTGAATGATTTCTTGAAGCTCGATTACAATTTTCATTTTTCCAGATAAGGAGACTAACATTAAAGAAGTAACCTGCCCAAATGACTAGTCTTAATCAGCGAACATGATAACTGATCAACTAATGAAGCAGAGATTCAATTTAAGGTTTAATCTAAATACTTTCCAGTTCTATTTTATGCTTTTGAAGTGAAAGAGAGGGAAAGAAGGTATCCTTATTCTAAGATAAATGGGCATTTGTTGGAAAAGAGAGAGGGAGAACAAAATGGATTGAGAAAGACTGATAATTAATGAAATTCAGGAAAATAGTAATGTTCAGTTTTAGTTATTTGACGCTGGGTGAAGGGATGAGATGACAGGGCAAAACGAAACAGGGGAAAGGAAAGTATTCAAGCAGAAATGAGGAAGAGTTCAGTGTATGGCTTAGTTTTCCAAGCAGAGAGGGGAAAAAGTAAGGAAAGTAAACTTGCAAGTCTGAAATTTGTAACAGAGGCAGTTTCTTATCAGCATAGATCAGATTTTCAAAAGCCAATTCCAATGCAAACTCTTAGAGGCAGAACTATCAGTGCCACTCTATTTTGCAACCCTGTCTAAACAGTTTGTGTAATCCTTTATTCTATGAGGCAGTGCCTGCTTCTTCTGTGGAAGAAGAAAATGACAAACTTGGTTTCTTTCCCTTTTGCATTGTTTAGGTTTGATCACAGTTGGTGTGATCAGCAGTGTAATCTGTCATCGAGTGCCTAGCATTAAGGTAATGGTATCACTTCTCAAGAAGTCCCATAATGTAATTTTGAACTTTGTTGCTGGGCTGCATAACCTTTTAGCCTGGTTTTCCAGTTCTCATAGATATTTTATACCTACTCTTCTCTTTTAATAAATTATTTTTCTGTTACACACGGTAGATTTCTATTTTTTTGCAATAAGAACTCCAAATGATATAAAGAGAAACAAACATCTCAAATCTTAAGAATAGAACTCTTCTAGATTCCAGTTCAAAAGAGTGTGGCGTGGGACCTGAACATCTGTATTAAAAAAAAAAAAAAAAAGTCCTCAGTGACTGCAATGGTCTCTGTCAAGATTGATTAAGAAATACGTCAGAAAATGTCTGCATTAGTACTTCCTTGTACTGGACAAATGACCATCAACTTCATATCTTGACAATTCTAACTCTAGGAAGATGTTTATAATGAAAGAGCACATAAGGCATTTGTGTTTAGTTATGTCTATGTGAGGGGCAAAAAAAAAAAAAAAAAACCTTTGGGTGTGCACATAATGAAAACAATATTCTTTTCCAGTAAAATGGACTAATACATGGATTAACAGGTTCCTAATTTTCTTTTGCAAAAATTGAGATTTTACACATTATTACTAGTTTTAATGAAATGAATCATTTTCCATATGCTGTTTACAGAGTATTTCAGCTTGTTTCATTCCTGAATATGTCAACTTTGATTGTTTGATTAAGGTGAAGTTAATTAGGCTTCTACACTTCTACACTGAAATCAACTCTTCTCCCTTTTGTAATTTAGTAGATACTTTGTGGGGGAAGTTCTTTAAAAGCAGGGAAATACCTCATTCTTATTGAAATTTTCAGATTATTCAGTTAGTCATTTATGTCTGAATGGACTTAATGTTTCCTATGCTATTCAAAGAGTTGTAATAGGCCAAAAAATAGTTAAGAGTATAAAAGTTTAAATGGCAGAAGTAGAACTCTATTTGTAAATGACTTGTTTACACAGAAAATCCTAAGGCATTGATATAATCACTAGAAGGAACAAGTTAGCTCAGAAAGATCAGCCAATTGGAAAATAAATCTCAATAATTTCCATTTGTAAGAATGACAAAAGTTTTAAATACTCAAGAATAAGTTTAACAAAAGATATGTGATGCCCCTATACTAAAAATAATATAACAATGCAGGGAAAAATTAAGCTAGATTTTTAAAAATGAAAAAATATGAGTCTTCGGAGTTTAGAAGACTCAACACTGTTAAGATGCTGATCATTCCCAAATTGATCTATTCTTTTAACACAATTCCATTTTTGTGGGGGTGGGGGTACCTGGAATTGAACTCAGGGGCACTCAACCACTGAG